CCCCCGAGCAGGACAGCCCCCCACGGCTGCCCCTGCACCGTCCTGACATCACCTACAAGATATGTGAGGAATGAAAACGCCTGGTCCGTGGCTAAACATGCGGTTCCTGTGACCCAGCAGGCCTGGACAAAGGGCTGCCTTGTGCTCAGCGCCTGCCTCCGTGGGGTGGTGAAAACTTCACGGGTCCCTCTGATGGGAAAAGGACCCACAAAGTGGGTTCTGAGACCAGAGAGCGCAGAAAAGGGGATGAAATAATTGCTGTAATTTGCTAATGTTGTCCAGGCTACTTTAATTGTTGCAGTTAGCTTTTGTTAAAGGTTAACTCATTTCTTGTGCTGTGAATACCAGGTATCCTCAGCCCACGGGGGAGGACCCAGCTCCCTCTGGCAGAGCAGGATCAGGGCCAGGAGCCCTGTGGGGAGCAGGGCAAGAAATCTCCAGCAACTTCTGAAACGGGGCCATGGCCACGTCCAAACACAGGGAGAGAGCAAAGCACCTCGCGCCCTACGCACACAGAGCCCCATGCAACTGGTGAACAAAACCTCCGCGGTTAATTAAATGAACGGGCCGTTCCCAGGCGGTGGGGACGTGCCTTGGCTTCGCTCCTTTGACATCTGCAGGCAGCTCCTGCCCACTCCCTCCCCACGAGGGGTGACAACTGGGTGCTGGGATGAGCCTCTGGAGGCTTTAACGCTGGGGGAGAGGCAAACCCAATGACCGGAGGCTCTCTTGGGTCCGACTCAAAGCACAGGGTCCGAAACACAGCGAATTCTGCTTTTTCTTTCCAATCTTGCTCAGAGAAAATCAGCACCTCTCAGTTTATCACCCAGAACTGCCCCATCAGCAGCTTGGATAGTGTCAGTTCAGTGACTATCAGCAGAATTTAATATTCTTGGAAGAGATGAATGTCTCTGTGGCAAAGGCAGATGTATGTGCTGCGAGGGAGGGAGCTGCCACAGGGGCAGCATGTTGGGCACATCGACAGCACCTCTGCTTTGGGGTCTATGGGGTGAGGGCGGCAGCTGTCCCAACCCCACTTTTGCCAGGGATGGAGGGTAGTTATCAGCAGGGGAGAGACAGCTCGCGATTTCATTTCCTAGAAATCTCTCGCTGTGGCACCCAGTTATCCCCTTTTCACAGCACCCACCGATTCGCAGGGGAAAAAGCCCGCTCAGAGGTTTGGGAGTTTGTCTTTCCCAGTCTGGGCTGAGAGGACGGAGCATCCTCAGAGCATCCCTTGGGGCAGCCACTCTGGCAGGGCCACCAGGCCGCGGGTTGAAGGCACCAGAAACGCAATATTTTGTCAATTGCTCCATCTAGTGCCATTTCAGCAGAAAAAGCGGTGGGAGCACAATGCCTGGAGCCGGTGCAGCCACCACAGCTGGGGCCTGCACAGATGTCCCTGGCTGGTGGCTGTAGCCGTTTGGTGAGGATGTGCCAGGTCCCTGCCCTGGTCCAGCGCTGGTGCCATCAGTTGCTGGCAGCCGTGGGCAAGGGGCTCGGGAACGCGCTGCCTCCCTGTACGCTGCTGGGGGGAATGAAAAGAAGGGTAACACAACTACTAAGCGTTTTCGAAGAGTTGAAAATATTAATAGAGTATTATGTTTTCAAGGGCAGCTGTTTCCATGTAAGGGTTTATAGCCCCATTTGGAGAAAGATGAGAAAAATATGGTTAACGAAGCGAAGGCTCTCAGCCCTGGGTCTGCGAGGGATTTCACAACTCTGGCAGGGTGGGCTCCGGCCGTGGAGAGAGGGGCACCAGCTGCTGCCACGCCGCCGACACCCAGGTGCCACCCCAAGGCCAGGGCCCACGTACCCCCAGCACCTGCGAGGGGCACGTCTGGCACGGTGGGGGTCAAACACCACGACCTCAGGCTTTACCCCACACAGGGTAACACCAGCAGCCCTCTCCATTTGCTACCCCACTCCCTGATTTGAAAACCAGCCATATTTTGTTTGCCCACATAATAATAATTTGCCTGGGTTGATCTGCTTCCCGCAATGCAGCAGTTTAACAGGTTTTTGTGAGCGTCAGGGGTTGTGTGCCGATTCCTGCTTCTCTGGCAGGAGCAGTAAAACACCCAACTAAGAAACAAACCTGGCAGGCACGGTCCCACGGGCACTTCTCACGGGATAAAGCTGCTTTCCAGCAAGCAGCAGACACCAGGCCAGGATTTCCTCCAGCAGGAATCCTGCAGAGACGCCAGGGCAGGGACTGGTGGTGACGCCAGCAAGGGGGTCACCTGCAGCGGGGCCTTTCTTCAAGCAGCTTGGAGCAAATGCTAAAATGAGAATTTTTTTGGCATGACCGTGCTGCAAAACACCATCTCCGGCACATGAATCCACCCTGTCACGTAAGGTGAGGGCCAGTGAAGGCCTTCGCTGAGCCCCCAAACCTTGCGATGGGTCATGCAATGGGGTGCAGGGTTTAGCCCCATGAGCTGTGATGGGAGGACGAGGGGGGGGGGGGGGGGGGGGGGTACCCCCTGGGGGCCCCGCACACAGATTTCAGCAAACACATCGGGCTGTGGGTCCTTGTTTTTCTCTCGGGGGGTGCCCAGGTGTGGCGTTACGCTCTCGCTGCCTCCCATCTGCAGTGAGATTTGCGCTAAGTTTGCACTTGAGAAGCACCGTTGCACACAAGCATCCAGTGTCCTTCTTCCTTGAAAAGAAACAAGTCTGTAAAAAAGCCCACCTGGCAGAGAGGGGCAAGGAGGGAAGGGCAGGGTATTGCTGTTTAGGGGGATTTATCTGCAGGTCCTTTTCTGCTGCATACAAATAAACCAGAACCTGCAGCAAACGAGCTCCCAGAGCACCAGGAGAAACCAGTCTTCTACACTTACGTTTATTTTCAACAGATGGTCTGTCGTACCTACACATCAAAGTGTTAAAAAAGAAAAAAAGAGAAAAAAAGCCGGTGAAGGGCTTTATGAGACAGAAGAGCCCATTCTCATTCAAAGTGCGAAGAAGGAACCCTCCCCAAAAGTACATTTTCTTCAGGAAAAAGGAGACCTTTGAGGACCTCATCTTTTTGTGGTTTAACCTCCTCCTTGTGGCAGCTCACCGGTGAGTTTGTAAAAGCAACTGCAACATCGTCTCATTTCTGGAGAGAAAACCTGTTTCTGAGGCTGTGATGGAAAGGAAAAGCCGAGCTCAGCGGGTCTGCAGCCTGCCCAGGGCATCCCGGATGGGAAGCACAGCAGAATAACCCCATGTCATTGCCGTTTCAATTGGCACGGTTTGATTAGGATGTGATTTTTAATTTTAACCGAGCAGTTACAGAGACACAGCACCTACAGCAGGGGCTCTGCTCTCAGGAATGAAGAGCTTTTACACTGCCAGTGCCTATTTTCCTTTTTGTGCAGGAATCTGGAATAAACTCTGCTTCAACCCCACCGGACTTGCGAAAGCAGCAGAGACCTTGCAGCCCACCTGGACAAGGCTGAAGGCAAAGTCAAGGTGATCCTTGTTCTTTTTGTGGTTGGGGTGTTGCAGAACATGGCACGCTCTGATTTGCTGCCACCCTAAAAGGTCCAGCTGTCACAGGATCGTGTGTGTTAGAGAACAGAATGTCCATTGCTGCTATGAGAAAAAAGTGACCGTGACAGCGTTTAACCAGAATGTAAATACAGCTAAATTATGGATGTGGAAGTGTGAAACTGTGGAGAAAGATGATAATGGAATTATATATCAGTGCTCAGCACAACTGTAAAAACGGATGTTTTATACATATGTAATGTTAAATTAATTAATTCCAGTTCTTTCAGGTGAAGGTACATTAACTGCTCCATCTCGGCGTAATCGTATTACCTCAACAGACTCTCTGTATGTCATACTCACAGGGTTGTAATTGCCATCTGATTAATTACAGGGGATTTAGAGGCAGTACAGCAATTCCTTATGGAGCAGGGCAATGGGACTGAGTCCCCTGACCCCTCCAGGCTGCCCACACCAGCCCACCGTCCGCTGCCACGGATCACGTCGCTGCCCGACGAGGCTGCACCCAGCGGGTGCTTCCAAAGCTCAGCAGCAGGATCATGCCTGGACAGACTTTGTTCCCTAGCAAGTTCACGCGGTGGGGAGGACACAAAAACTTGCAGCATCTCAACGCCAGCCTTTGGAAGGAGTGTAAACACAGGTGTAACGTGCCCTTTTCTTTGCAGAGTTTGCTGAGAAATGCAAACAGTCCTAAGATGGCTCCTGGTGACGTCAAGGATATCCTTGATGGTGTCACTGCAAACTGCAGGTTAGTCCCTGTCTCTCCAGGTGAGGAAGATGATGGAGGGACTGCGAACAGCACGTGGCTCTTCTACAAGGAAAAGTTCTGACAGCTGAGTCCTCAAGCCAAGCAGGAGAACCCTTCCCACCAGTACTTACGAGTTGAAATAGTGGCAAGTGGCACCTCTGAAGGGTATGTAGCTGCCTGTGGTATAGATGCTCCTCCTGCAAGTGTCCTTCGTGTCGATTCCTCCTGGCACAGTAATGATCGCTCGGCACCCGTCTTCATCCCCTGGTTTTGCTGCCCATGCACCGGATCCCTGGTCTCTCCACCGAGCCGTTTTTGTTGATGTTCCTGATATAAACTACTTACCAGGCTAGAGCCACCCAGTCGGTGGCTGTACCCTTCTGCTGGGAGGCAGATGGTCACGGGGTGGCTCCCTGTGACTGTCTCCCTCGGGAGCAATGCTGCAGCCTGTGCACAGAGCCTCGGCGGGCTGTCACCACAGCCGGCTGACACCACAGCCTTCTGCCACGCCACTTCTCCAGAAAGGGCAGTCACTGGCCCTACTCAGAAAAGCAAAGATCTCATGCAGTAGAGTTGAGCAGCCACTTAAATTAAAAAATAAAAATAAAAATAAAAATGCACAACTACTTATGTAACCGGAGCTTTATTTAGAATCTTCGAAGTCATAAAATGTCTCATTTTACCGATATACGTAAACATACAATCAAGAGGTTTAATTGCCTTTTCCCTTGCACAGAAATAAAGTTTTAAACAAACCAGAACACCTCAGCCCAGACAAGCGTAATGCAAATTTAATTATCTAACTTGGTCCTGTACATACAGCACACGCTTCTCCGCATGGTCACTGGTTTATCAATTAGTTGCAATATAATTTTTGGCAGTAATATATTCAACACACAAAGTGCAAATTACAAGAAGCAGAAAATGTTCTCTCTCATTCTGAGCAATGAGAAGTGCAAAATATCTCAGCCCATAAATTCTATTCTTTATGTATATGAACAGTATGTGCATAATAGGCTAATAAATAGCCGTGTAAAACTTCATAGATTAAATGTGGCAACATCTTAAAGTAGGAATGCAGCGGTTATAAAAACATAATCAGGCAGAGGAATCATTACATTCTGTTCATAAATTCCATACAGGATTTCTGAGGGTACCTCTTCACACTTCACCTAGCCACCCTTAACTTCTGCATGCCTTGGATACTTTTGCAACCAAAGGCAGTTTGTTAAAAATTCTCCCAATTTGCTACATCTGGACATAGTTCTGTGTATCTACAGTCGAGGTTCCACTAACACTTCACTTGGCAAATCAAACAGTACAGTGGGAATCCACTGAAAACATGAAGTCTCTTCCAGGCACTATTAACGGCATACCCACTAATTGCTCCAGCAGGCTAAATGCACTTCGTGATTACCAAAAGAAAACTTTTCAATGAAATAAGGAAAACCGTTTCAAAGGGAGCTGATCACAGCTCGCTTGTTCCAGTGCAGGTCACCTCATTTCAGTACCTGTTCTTCTCAGTAAAATGGGGAAATACCTGCTCCAGCTCAGAGATACCAAACAACAGTACCTTTAACACAAACCCTGTGCTTCTCAGTTATTGTACTGCAGATTTTGAATCTTCTTTCCATTTAATTCGAGGGATTTTTCATATAAAATGAGCAGCCAATTTTGATATGCCCCCCCTTCATTTCTCCCAGCTACATCATCGTTATAAATGATACCAAATAGTCCAAATCAGACTGGGCTGCTTCCTCTAAAACCCTACTGTTCCTCTGGATAGGAAGATTAAACCACAATGACTTGCATTGCCATTAATCTGCCTGCCAAATTCATTTGCTAAATCACTAAGGCCACGGTCATATAATCACTGCAGGAATGGCTGCGACACGTAATCACGTTGTGAACTTCTGGCTGAATGTTCCCTGCATCCCACCTCCACCGCGCAGAGCGGGACAGGCTTTGGGAAGGCTCCTCGTGGGCTTCAGCGTACTCTTGCCTGGCTTAGCTTAAACCAAAAAAATAATCGGGGCCTTGCCTGAGCCATCTGACTTGCTGGAAGGGGCTGAAGAAGCCTCTTCTGCATGCTCTGCCCTGGGGAGGGTGGGCACGGCAGCCAGCCTGGGGTTTGGTATTATCCAAAACTGAACTCCAGCAGCCCCAGGAGAGAAGCATCCTCTGTGATCCGTGAAAGCCTCTTCCTGTACTATCTGATCTTGGGGAGACTCCTGAAAATGTAAAATGCTTTGCTGGTTCGGATTAACTTCAACTATCCTTAAAGACAATGTGCAGAGGGACTCCTCACCATCATGACTAGAATTACAGGATCACATTGCCGAAGCAAACTTTTGTCTTCATTAAAGTTTCAGGATGAACAATTATGCTTCAACTTGGCACAACAACAACTGCCTTTGTATGCAACACGCCTGGCATATATCAGCACAGTTCTTCTTCTTTAAAAATATAATTAGAATAGAACGAGATAGGTTGTTGTTGTTGTTCATGCTGCCTAAATATCTGAAAAGGCTCAAACATTTTAAAAGCCTAAAAAAATAAAATTTCCCTCTCCCCTAGTTTATTTTTCATGCTAAAGGCTGCAAATTGACACATCACAGTAATTACCTCTGACTAACTTCCATAGACCTACCCAAAGAGATAAACATGAGAAGTTCACATTTGACTATCAGACTTACTGTGCCGAGCACAAATAATTTCCCAGAGGAGAATTTGATATTTCATCATTTGGAACAGTGGTAATTTAATTACATTGCTAATGTTTTCTGGCATACTTGAAAGGACAATTAGCATAAGTAAATCATGAGTGAGATGACAAGTCACTCGGCATTTATTTCTGCTCATCAGATGAGATCAGTTGATGATCTAAATTCTCTTTTGTGTGCGAACTGATTCCAGGTTCAGCAGTTGTAACTGGCGTTCAGACTAGTGGGGATAAACTGATGTACAAATAAAGTAAAACGGATATTGTTCTTTGAAGTTTCTTAATTAAACTTGTCCAGAGAAACCTCAAAAGCCACCAGAAGTAGGGGAGGGCGGGGAGAAAGGCTGATAAATGGGAAAGGCTAAATGAAGCTCGAGATGCACACTACCCTTTCTGGCAATGGGGTGAGTATCGATTCGTTTTTGCCAGGGTTTGCTTTACATCCTGCTCAGGGCCGAACAGGACTATTATAGCTCTACTGATGTTCTAAAATAATTGTATTTATCTCCGCGAGCGCAATGACATTCACGATAACACCGTTAATGTTACAGTTCCTTTCTGGCGCTTCAGGATAGCTACAGCTTGCTCATGGCTCACACCTTCCAAAGCTTCCCCGTTAACTGCTACAATCTGATCGCCGCGCTTCAGTCTGCCATCGTCCGCAGCTGCTCCCTGCAAACAGCAAAGCCAGCCATTAGCGCCGGGTAGCCCGAGCCCTCCCGCCTCTCGGAATGCTGATGGATGGAATGAGGAGGGATGCAGCACTGGAAATCCCACCCTAACCGGGCGGGGGACGTGGGGAATGAGGGTGCTGAAGTCTCCCTGAGTGCTTCAACCGTTGCCCGTCGCTCAGCCAACCCTCTAAGGTCTGGGGCGGCGCGGGCAGGTGATACCCCTGGGAAGGAGGGAATTGGTTCATCCCTGAAAAAAAATGCAGCGTAAAGACTGGTTCTGGCTTTTACGATTATGGAAAGGCTTATTAAAGAAGTATTTAAGTGCACTCCGCAGGCAGTGCTGAGAAACAGGTTAAAATGTGGGGAGGGAGAGAGGGACGCAGAGCTCACGCAGCACAACAGCCCTGGATGGAGCTGAGCTCCACTGAAGGTCCTGAGAAGCTCCCCCAGAGCTTTAGACATGGCTGTTCTCCTCCCGAGGCCTCAGTGCAGCTCTTTTATCTAAATCCTGAGCCCTGCCCTGCCCACAGGGCAGCTCCTGGGGGCCGTTTCTGTTCCATGGCCCCACCAGTGACTGCAGTATATTCTGGCTTTGATTTAGGGTTTCTCAGCTCTCCTCACACCTAGAAACGTGTATATTTAAGCATCAATTTAAAGACATAATATCTTCCAATAGAAAATTGTAAAAAGACCAGATATTTGTGGTTTGAGCCCCAGAATTGCAGAAGCAGAGAAGACATGACTTCTACTCCACCTTCAGATGAAGTTTTCTTAGTGCCATCATCTACCCTGCCAGAAGTGCTGACACAAGTGACAGCAAGTAGGCACGGGGCAAACAACTGTGTGTGACTGACTTGGAAGTTACTTTGTGGGAAGTATCCCTCATTCCCACTGTTTGCCTTTCCTCCTCCCCATTTCCAAACTCCCATCACGTGGCCGAGCCTGATGTATCTTGCTGGCCCACGCAGAGCACATTTCCAGCAAGGGACACCTCTCCCTCCACACCAGTGGCCGTTCTGGGGCTGTCTGCCCTCGAGGCTGGGCTGGGCTGTTTTTTCCTCAGCCTAGGTGGCCAGAGCCACTGCTGTACCCCTGGCTGGGACCCCCAAGTCCTCCTCTGAGACTCAGGGCTGGGGTCAGAGATGGGCTGAGACAGCCCACAGGAGTGCTCAGAGAGGCACGAGGAAGAAACTGGAACAACCACAGCCAGGACCGATGTGTAAGCCAATTCTTTATCAAGGCACAAGGTATGACATTTTCCTCGTCCCGTGTTTTTTCTCACCGAGGCAGCTCTTTGAGGCCAGGAGCTCATTGCTGGTTTTGCAGCTGAAGCTCAGCCACAAAGATACAGCACCTCTGCAACCATCTCCTCTCCTGTACAGTAGGAAAAGGGATACCTCTGTACCTCTTGCAAGGCATTTTGAGATTTACAGATATAAAACTGCCTTATAAATATTTTAATGTATAAAACCAAGTTCTCCAAGTACACAGAGCAATTTTGCTGAGATAAAGTACCTTGTTTCAGCCATCAGTAATGTGAAATATAAACTGAGAAGCCGGCTGTGAGTTCTGGGTTCACTTACTCACATCAATGTGCTTAGACAGTACGTTTTGCTTTCTACCACATAATATATTATCCAAGCCAAATCTTAAGTTTATTTTTAAAGATAATACAGAAAAAGGGAAAAAACAAAACAAAACAAAATACCTTGGCAAATATAGTCTTGACATAAATGGGCAGGTCTCCATGGGGACTTCCATACCCCCCTACAATACTAAATCCCAGTCCATCAGAGCCTTTCTCCAAAGTAATAATCTTAGGCTGAGGTGCTCTGAAAACACAATAAATATCACTTAGAATAGCAACGTCTGTCTCTGGGGACTTTATGCAGAAGGAACGCTTACAGAGATGTTTATCTATCAAGAAGTTTTTCATACAGTCACAAACTCTTGCCCTTGTGCTGAAACACACTCCTGCATGGCCCGGAGTTCAAACGCTGTTCTGTGTGCTGCAGCTCCTCAATTTGAAAAGACTTATCTTCCGTAAGAACTCATCAAGAGCACTTATCTCTGATGCAGAATTGAGGTGCCCCTCATCTGCAGTCGCTGCATTAACGTAAAGGACAGTTTGCTTTCTTACCGGCCAAGCTGTCATCTTTAGTCTGCATAAGTGGCAACTGCAACAATTTCCTTACAGCATAATTTTATTTTATGACTTCAGAGGAATGAGTCTAATAGACAGGGTGCAGCCAGGAACACCTGTGTTTATAGTCTCAGCTCTACTGCAGGCTCTTTGGGCTGTTTTCTAACAACTTATATTTGACCTAGACCCCTGTGTCTCGTCACTCCAGAGAGCCCCTCACTCAGTCTCTCTCTTAGACCCTGAACTGCTCTTCAGGGGCTTTTATTGTCTACATTGAGCAGAGGAAGATTTTTGGTGGAATTTAGACCACTCACAGCTAAAAACAAAAGCTGTTTGGCATTTTCCACCTATATAAAGGTGCAGCCTCTGATGACCAATATCTAGCCATTTCTTTAGGACAGAACAACTGCATATTCCTAGCTAATTCTGCTTCATATTTTCACATTCAAATTTTCTTACTATTTTGATATGAAAAGAGAATACAAATCCTTTTGTGAAGTAAGCAATTCTTCTTTGAGAGCAGCAATAAAACCAGTATCTCACATTGTAAGACTAGAGAATGCAGCGCAGTTTAACTTGTATACTTAAAACCCCCTGAGGTAGGGCAGCAACTTGCATCTCAGCCTCTTAAAATAAATATAATGAATCAAAGAATGAAAATGAAAAACATAATGAAGCTAATAAACCAGAACGAAGATCAAATGAATTTCAAAATGATAACTGGAATGCTATAAGCTGCCCTAAAAAGCACACGATGGAGGATGATGCATGGTCATGGGAGGGCTGGATCTCTTAACTTCCATCACCATACAGAAGTGCTCTAAGTAGAAGATTTTTTAATCAGATTTTTTTGAATTGTAAAGTTAAAAAGATTCAAACGACAAAGAGAGTTCTGGGACATGTTTCGAAACATTTGTGTCTCATACCAGACTTTTTAACACCCTCTTGCCTTAGTCTGCCAATGACAAACTATTTCCAATTGCTACGACCATAACTCCTTTCAGGCAAGGAAGCCAACAGACAAGGGCAGAACTAACATGTCAGCATAACACATTAGAAAAGAAAGGAGATGATTTTTTTTTTTTTTTTAAAAAAAAGCCTCCAGAACTAGTGCTTGGAAACACATTTTGTGCTTATTTACTCAAGCAATTTCTGTCATCAGGTGAAGATGGACACAAGTCTGTAATCAGCTTGGAGAAGGTCACAAGTTTTCATTTTAAAGGTGATGGAAAATTAGAGAGAAAAGCAATGGGAGAGACCTCCTTCACCACTCTTGGCTTTTGCCTTGCAAGGCGCACAGAAATCCAGGTCAGCTGTGCAGACTAAGTACGAACTTACTCGGGATCTTCAGAAGGATGCTCAGAAGAAGAGTTAAGGTTGCATCCTGCAGACATGCTCTCCAGCTGGGTAGCAATGGCACTGATGTTGGTATCAGCCACAACCTAAACAGAAGGATGCAATGAAATACTATGTGTGTCCACTTAATACCAAAGACATCTTGGCTAATTACGTAGAAAATAGCCCATACATTAGGGAAAAGCAATTATTGATGATTTTTTTCCCAAGCAAATTTCAAATACAAGTCCTACTCCCTTAAATGTCCTACTAATGAGAACTAAATGAGAATTGGCAATGTTAGGTTGGACTAGGTGATCTTCAAGGTCTTTTCCGACCTAGATGATTCTGTGATTCTGTAATTCAGTATTTTCAAATAACAGAGTTAGCAGCAGCCACCTTTCTGGGGGTTAAATGCAAACTTTTCTCTGAATCTTTCTCTTGCTTTACCATGATTATCACTCAGATGCTGAGCAGAGAGGAACAGTCTTTCTGGATAATCCAGGAAAAGATGTTATTTTGTCAAGGAAATAGGTACATCTCAAAACAAGGTGTCCAGGATTGGGCTTGAAAGCAAAGGTCTCCCACAGAGAGCACCTTAGCCTTTAACAAAGTACCGAGATCCATGGGGCTGTCGGGCAAAGGCCCTGAAATACCTCACACTGCTTTGTTTGCTGAGCAGGGAAGAAATTAATCCTTGGTTTCCACTTTTCTGCCATTTCCAGTGTGAATCCAAGAAACCGGATTCTTAAACTTGCCAATTCTGGTTCCTGTATAATTCTGAAACCATAATGAATTACCACCACATGGTCATTAGTGATATTTTGACAGGTTGTGGGGCAGCAGACTCGCTCAGGCTTTTTAAAGCAACCCTGTCAATGTTGTGCAGGTCAGGTGCAAAGCCAGCTATGGCCATACCGAGAAAACAGTTACTTGCAGACCAAAGTCTGGGGTTTGCTCTTCACAGGGGTTTAGCCTCTTAAGTGTAAAAGCTTGCAGGCCCGTGGGATTTGTTAAACACAAAGTGTCAATGGCCGCTCTAGCCTTTTTTTTTTTTTTTTTTTTTTTTTTTTTTTTAACCTTCCATGGCACGCTGATCTTCTGTTCTTTGCTTTTTCTGGGAAAAGTTTTGAGGAAACCACTATGAAGTGTTTTGGATTTTAAGTCTTTACAGCTGAAAGGACATCAATTTCCTAACAACTACATGCTGTGGTTATCCCCTAATTCCATCTCCTTGTGATGAAATACTCTTCTCTGCTTGACATTTACTATACAGCACAGGAGTTCAGCTCAGAGACAGTGGAAAGTACCCAGTAAATATATTTTCAATATTTCCTCTAGCTATCTATGGCCTTATTTTATCAAAATTAACAGGTACTTCTTCCACTCCTTGCTGTGAACATGGCTTAAGGGAAACGTACCTTTTCGAAATAAAAAAATCCATTATATAAATCCCCCGTTTTAAATGAATGCTCACAATTCTTCCACAACAATATTTCCCTCTTTCTAATCACTTGAAGCCAAGAGGGTGGTAGCATTTTCGAGGAAGGAAGATTAGTTCTCATGCAAATTTTGCATCCCCGGACTCAGGTTCTCAGATGCCCTAAATGAAGGGGTCCAGCGGACAAGATAGCTGCACCTGGCTCAGCTAGGAAAGACACTGTTAAGTTTTCCTTCCCATTGCAGTAGGGGAAAGAGTGCCAGCCAGTACTTGTCATATTTTGTTGTTAAATAAAACGAGGGCAAAATCAATCTATATTCAAAAATCTTCAGCTGGCAGTAAGAACATATCAGAGTTCAACAACCTTGTAAAAAAGCTTCCCCTTATCTCATTACTACACCTGCAGAAAAGAAATTAAATTAAACCAAAGCATCAAAACAGCCGAAAGGGATGATTGTTCCCCTGAGACCCTAATCTCCCATTTGCAAACAGCATTTGCAAACTCCTTTACCATCCTTCCCAGGACGTACTGATAATAAGCCTTTCCACACCACTGAACGCAATTATCTGACCTTTCAAAGCAGTTTGCCATGAAGTGGTGTAACCTGATAATAAATAGAATTACTTAATGACACATCAGTCATGATTATCACAGCGATAGGATTATTCCATTTAGATTGTTTTAATAAAAAATAATTTAAAAAAAAAAGCAATCTGGTGATTGAGGAGTACCTGTGGTTAGCATGTAAGGTAACCACATCACCGTGCTCACGGCAGGGCTTCAACACTACTCCCTGCTGGTATTAAAATGTAACATCCCACCTTCACATAACAGATTTTTAAGAGAGAAAACCAGACTATTCTATCAGAACAAACCTGAATCATCTGTAAGAATTATTAAGCTTATTTTAAGCTAGACAACAAAAATGCAGAAGGAAAAACCGTCAACTGACAAACCCAAAGACATTTCTAGAAGAACCTCTTTGTTTATGTGAGCGACCAACTGACAGCGTGCTTCATCAGGAATATTTTTAAATACATGATGAGGTGGAATATGCTGTATTACAGCTTCCAAAATTAGCAATTTTGGGTTCTGCAGCAAGCTTTCATTTTCTATTCAGGGAATACCGTTGACACGAAAAGTGAACTTACTCAACGTTAGTAACAATATGATAACTATAATTTAACAGAAAATCCTCAGCTGGTGTATATCTGTGTATTTCCTTTGACTTCAATGGAACTACACAAATACACCATCTGCTCTGGAACTGGCTCATCACTTACCAGGTCAGTAGTTCATGGACAGACAAAACAAAGAATAAGCCAGACTAAAACTAAGTTTATTATATTTTTTTTTATTCCCCTTTCCCCCCCTCCCCATTTCTTATAGTCACATTTGTGTTGTAATGCAAGGAAGAAGCTTGCAAAAATCTCTCGTGTTCCAATCCAATAGGCTTGATGATAACGAAAATTAGAGTAGATTTTAGTGGTACATCTTAAGCTTGTTTTCCAATTGTTACAATAATTCTGCAAATGAGAAGTATTTTGAATTCTCTCTGGCAAGTATTTTTTTCCATTTCTTTGTGTAAACATAAAAATAAACCCAAGATGAATATACTGGCAAGCAGCAATTAGAACCAAAGTGGCAGAACATGTCTTCCTTTCAGCTAGCATATAAATGCAGCAGTGATAACACTGTTTTCTCTCTGAAGTGTTATTATTCATTACCTGTAGAATAATCAATTCTAGGCAGCACTGCCTTAATGATGATGCTATCGTTTTTACTAAATGCTGCTAGCATTTCTTTCTTCTCCCCCTTTCAAGAACAAGGAAATGAACACTGTGGGCAGTTTGGTCACAGTCTAGTTGCAGGCATGCACACTTACACACACACACACACGTAATTTCTTGTTCCTAGTTAACTTCAAATTACAAAAAAACCTTGGAAGCTTGTTGATTTATCACATGTAGCAACAAGTTATTTTGTTCTCTTTGTTATGCTTTTATATAATCATGCTCACAGCCTGTATGAATGGCAATAAAGAATTTTTGAATGAAAATTATTTCTTGCTTTTCATTCTGTGTAATTCCCATCAGCAAGCACCCTGCAATTCTGTGATGCCTTGTGCCAGTGATGCTTAGGGTTTTTTTTCTTGAATGCCATTTATCTACCCTCATGCAGCTGCATGTTCAATTTATCACCATACCTGCAGGATAATGCTCCCATAAGCATTCTTTAGTAGATTAACCGCATCTGCATGAGACAGCCCATCCAAAGGTTGCCCATTAATACTGACAATCCGATCTCCAACCTAAAAGTACAACAGTAATGGAAAATTACTAGCATTAAGGAAAATTAAAATTAAGAATGCTTAAAATTCCTCGTGAACTTGGCACCGCACAGTCATGCTTCTCTTTTGCAGGATCCTTTTTGTGAGAATTGTGCACTGCCAGTGATTATTTACCATTCTTCAGAGCAAGTACAATACGGATTTTTTTAAAAATAACAATGCGATCAGAGAAACAAAGATGGGTTGTCTTTTACTATTTCCATTTGCAAGCAGAGAGAGTGAGATTTTCACTGCTGTCCTCCCATCCAGAAAGGATTCGTTTGTGTCTGTATATGCAGACAAGTTCATATTCTTACAGGCTATGTATGCACGTGCTGAATGAAGTATAGGAAAGCACGCACTTTTGATATTAACCTAATTAACCCAGATGATTTCTTCTTCTTATACATAAAAATGATCTTGACCCTGGCACTTAGTGCTGTTGTGTAATTCTATTAGAGACATGGCATCAATGTAGCAGCATGTACTAATGACTCTCGTGGGCCAAAGCAATCCTGTGTATCTGCATAATAAGTTCAATACTAATAATTCCTTCAAACTCTCTCCAAAATTGAAAGTGTTCACTATGGTCATTCCTGGAAACCCACATATCCTGTGGGTCTGATTTAAGTGCCTTATTTTGGCATCTCTTTACAAAGGCCTTAAGATCAAAGAATGAACTTCCAATCTGGTTTCTACCTGATTTGATGCCCAGACTGCTGTCCCCAAAAGGCCTGTGGTTTCCAGAGAGCCTGCTGCTGCCCTCCCTGGGTCTGGATGAACATACACACTCAATGACAACTGCAAATGCATTTATGTTCTTTCTCTTAACGACACTTTTCCAATGTGGGCAACAACTGCCATTATCCCAAGATGTGATATAAAAAAAGGGAAGAGAAGATCGGGTTTGGTTTTTGGGTTTTTTTGTTTGCTTTGTTTTTATATAAAGAGAGGCAGAGTAGTCTATGAGAGGTTACCAAAGTGATGGCATATACAGAAGTGCTTGAGGCTCCTTCTCTGTGGGACACATGGCAGATGAAATAGGAAATATTGAGGACCCCTTGTACTCACTCTGAGTCTTTGGGTACGTGCAGCCACACCACTGGCTTGAATCATAGCGATGAAGATGGGAATATCTCCTAATGGACTTCCCTTCCCTCCTGCTATACTGATACCAAGTGCATCATTTGGTCCCTAAAACAAAGCAAAACAAAACAACATTTGCAACTGGAGCAACTTGTAGAGGTCAGTGTTGAGTGTACTGATTCATTTCATTTATGGAACAGGGAGAAAATATCTAGGTTTGACAGACACACGCACGCTCACACACGCAGGTCCCATTACAGAGGCAGACGACAACCTACTGCAAATATAAATAATGCCGTTTTACTTCTGAGAAATGCTATAAAAATTAACAACTTCAGTTAAAGGTGTCAGCTTTTTGAATTGATAGAAAATAACTCACTGACCCTTGTTATCTCCACAGTCCTTGGGCCCATATCTGCTCCTACTAATAAAGAAACAAACAATTAGCTTCTGTAATTAAGAGATAATATAATTAAGAGATAACACTGTCAGGTGACAATGGTCCCTTGCTGCCTAGTCAGAGTTATCACTGAGCAGAAGCGGAGCCTTCCTGTGCCAAACCAGGCAGTGCTGCTCACGTGAGGAGGACGGGATTTCTGTTTCACCCAGAGATGAATACGGATGTAATCGCTCCGGCTGACGGATGCCACCATGACGCCCATTGTAGTGCAGCCACTGCTCACCACAATCTATTGAATAGCAGCACTCTGCCGGCCTGAAGAAAAGCCCTATTGTGCATTTCACGCAATTAAAGATTGGCTTATTATTCATAAATCACAGCGTCCCAACCACAAAGGGTAGGGCACAAGGCTGGTCTGAGACTGTTGAGGTTCCTTTGATTTCCTCTTCTAATTTGTGCTGTATTAGTAAATAATAGACAAGCAGGACGTCTGGCTGGCATAAATCTAGATGTAGGACATTTAAAAGCACTCAAAATATTAACAACAACAACAACAAAAAAGGAAAAAGAAGGGACCCATCAAAGGAATCATTTGATCTGGGACTAAACAGCCTAACAAGCTGATGGTGTAGTCAGGTCCTGGGCTCTGCTGTAACCCACCCCTAATTCTATCAGCTTTAATTAAACTGTTTTAAGAACCTTTTAAAAGGCAGGCCGAATTAGTCTCTTTCAAAAGCTAACGATTCTTAATAACACATATCAGTATTTCTCAGGGCCACGCACGTGTGCTTGTGCAGATATCTGCTGTGAGTACCCAGGGCAGGATTGCCAAGGTGCTGCCAGGTCTGCGGCAGCGGGAAGCCCAGCCCTGGGGACACGGAATCAGGGTGTGCAGACATGTACTCTCAGTGCTGCAGGGCCCTTCAAAATGGCACAAGGAAAGCTGCCCAGAAAGCCACACACCTCCTCCAGTGCATGCAAGCTGGCAGAAGAAATGTCTTCTGCTTCTGCCCATGGTCAGACACGAGCAGAGATCACCAACCTGACACAGGTCAGAGCACACAAACGTGCAGGCTCTCCCCGAGCTACGGCAGGTTGTAGATTTAGCACTTGCTAAATCTGCAAATTGCGAACTGGGCATTGTGACTTTTTCATTACAAAACACCCCTTTATACACTCAAGAGCAACAAAGATATAAATGAAGTGGTGGCAGCTTTATTCCCTGAGAAAACTGTTTCTAATGCAAGAACCTTGCCTGTGCTAAGCCTCTGACAAGGGCGTCGGGGAATAGCAGGGCACAGGAATTCTGCACTTTAAAGTAGAGGAGCCATTACTCTGCTAGTAGACATAAAAATAATGTCATCTGCTGGAAAGTGTTTGGGTCTTTATAACATCAGTGGTACGTCTTCTGGGAGGCTGAGCAGGAAAACCAGATCCAAGTATGCAGTTTTGCTTTTAAAGCAGCACAAATATGAAGCAAATAACACGCAGCTATTCTGACAGCCACCCAGATATACCTGAGTTTCTCTGAGACACATCTGCTGAAGATCTTTTCGTGCTGACAAAATTCTGTAAGGTAGAGAGGACCGGAGCAAGCGCAGGGTGGAAGTGGCTGTGGACACTCTGTTGGCTCGCCTGAAGTTAAAAATAGATTAAAACCTGTGAGTCAAACCCAAATGTTAATGTTAAACCAGTTCCCACAGCATACGGGCACAGCTGTGCTCTGTGCCAACCAGAGTGGAAATACCACATCGGCCACGCAAATGCAAACCTCTCCAACTTCATTTCCAAAGGGGGAACCTACCCAAATCTGCCCCCGAGTTGTGGGCGCACCCACAGAGCTGCTCGCAGTGTGACACAACAGCACTGCGCTCCCTTACCTGACGCTGTTCAGGTCTGCCCTAGAGGCCACGGGGAGGTAGGATTAACTCCCTCCTTTGCTTATTTGCAGTGTGTCTCTGAACCCGAGGAGAAGGGGAGATGATGGTTGCTGCTGAAGCTTGTGGGCACCCTCCCCATGACGCACCCTGCAGGCACCTCACCCTGTGATGGGCGTGCATGAGGCACCCAGCGGGACATGGAACAGCTCCTCCTCTCACACAAGTTGGGGACAACACTGACACCCATCTTGTTACACAGCAGTAATCTACAGGTTTTGCTCTTTCAGCTGAATACATTGTCCCATTATAAGTGCCTGTAATCGCCCCTGTTCCTCTGGCCCAGAATCTACTCTTATTTCCAGAGTAACATCCCAGGTGCAGGATGAGACACCGGTCCACTACAGCTGACAAAAGGGAGAGCCTCCCAAGATAGCTGCTTGTGCATGGTACCAGTTCTTGGCCATCCATTTCCAGCCCTCCTTTTCCCTATCTCTATATGTGGCTTTATCTTCAGACTCTGCCTCTTGAGGAAACATCATTATCAATTTAGGAAGTGCATCTGAACAACAGGTTTCACTGAGGGCCAGACCTTTTCAACTAAGCTGCCTTACAGAAAACAAAAATATGGTCTCTACTTCTCCATCCACAGCAGATCTTTCTCCCTCTAAATGCATTAGGGGGTGAATCAAAAGCTCTGGCAGCGTTTATCTGAACTGACCAGGGTGCAGCTGTCAGTGATGAACAACAGGCAGAGCACAGTTTCCACCTCTAGTTGCCAATTCATGGCTCAGTTAACATAATTTGCAATGCGCGTGAAAGAAATCACTGTCCTGCACCACAAGGCTTAGATTTCTACCCTTAAAGGTATGCAACGGACCAAGAAAAAAGCCAAGTGAGGACAAAAGTTCTGGATGCTCTTGGCCAGCAGCTTCGAAAACATCGCTCGCAGTTGTGCAAATCACTCAAGCTGATTTGCTGTATTATCTGCCAATATTTTTATAACTCTTGGAATGGTTTTGCTAAGAAACATTTATTCAGTTTTCAAAATCACCAGGTCACTTAGGAGCAGTGAAGTGAAGACTCTCAATTGACTCTGCATTAAGAACAGCAATTAAGTTTTCTTGTATTGAAAGAAATACAGAAATGACCAGGTTTCTGCAAAAACCTCTCATGCTATGAAGAAAGGGGGACGACACTGTTTGATCTGATTTTCTACCTAGAATCACGTTAGATACTATGGCATTTTGTTTCCCTTTCAGCTATGAATTTTACACTATAAATCTAGGTGGATAATTTTTAACCATCACTTTTTGATCACGCTGCTCTTGCTTAAGCTAGCTGTTGATACAATGACCAAAAAAAAAGTAATGCCCAAGACTGCTGTCTCTACTCACTGCAATCAGTATCGTTTCCCTCTGTTATTTCATTTCTCCTTGCCTGCTGCATGCAGTGCAGATGTTTCTCCAATCACATTTAGTCATTATTTTTAAAGCTGGGCTTAGTCCAGCTGTTCCCACATGGCTGCAGGCTCTTTAGCCCCTTCCTCACACCTCACCACACAGACAGCAGGCTGGATCACTGCTGGCCTTTAGAAAGTTAAGAAATCACGCCACATGACTATGATTTTGGCACTGGTTTGGGGTTGTTCATGCACGATATCAAGGACAAGCCTCCCCTCTTACTGACCTCCTTAAAAGCATTCCTGTTTTAACTTACATCCCCCCCTAAGCCTCCTACGACTCCTCCTTTCCATTTCCAAAACCAAGCCCTTCTTTTAGCACTTGTGGTGGCTGGGCTGGATCCCACCAGTGTGCAGCCCCTCCTGCCTCCTTGCACATCAGTGTGAGAGGGCAACGTCCCCCAAACAATGTCCCCCAGGTCCCTGACAGCTGCCCCTGGGCAGAGAGGGGGCAAAATACTCCACAGCAATAGCACAGCTCGTCTCTCTCGGGGACATTGGCAACTTAAATATAATGGCAAAGCAGTCTCTTTGGAAGGAAAATCCATTAAAAGAAGTTTTCTAAGTCATCCTGCCTTGTTTTTCTCCCTTGCAATACTCGGACTTTAATACGAACTGTATCAGTGTCTGAGCTGATTGGGGGTGCAGGGAGAGGGGAAAAGCCCTCCACTGATTGAAAAATGAATTGTTGTCCTCGCTTCAGGTAAAAAGCAAGTGAAGCAGGAAATTGCTCTGTGTTTTCTTTGAGAGCAAAGCAGCTCTCATGTGGTTCTGCCATAAGATAGGCAAAGATACAGTTCAGTTTCATTAACTCATTTTGATTGACAAAACAGCTGCAGAAATTACATTCAGCATTTTTTGTAGGTCTTAAAAAAAATTCTGGGCATCATCATTTGGGAAACATATTACATATTTTTGGTGTGTCTCAGGAAGACACTCCTTAAACCAAAAAATACATGAACTAGCTCTTCTACTTAATCAGCGTTTCAGTGTGATACTTACTTTGCAGTTCAGTACAGAAAATTATTGAGATAAAGTATTTTGTTCCACATCCTCAGCAGTAAGTGTCTATGGAAGGGCTGAGCCTCACGTGCAACCCCGTGCACTGTCTGGTGCCCTGCTCTCCACAGCTCCATTTTACACACATGAATTTGTCACTAACCTGACTGTTCTGGGATGTTTTCCGTGATGATAGCCACGATCCAGCTCTCAATCTCCCAAGCTCAAGATGCACTAGGCCTTGGGCACACTTGGAAAAAAAACACAACGTACAGTATTTTAAGTAGACGTATAATATTTCATGCTCTCCTGGAGAGAATTTTGTTTATATTCAGCACCACAACTTTATGAAGAAAACCACAAGGAATGCTCAAAACGTTAACGTTTGTATTTAGACAATGTAAAAAGTGCCTGTCCCTGGATTTAGGTTTATCCTGAAGGTCTATCCTGGTTGCTGAAGTCAGTATGAATCTTCCTACTGGCAAACTGTAGATGGCCAATTACTCAATAAAAACTAAACAAAAGGTCCCCAACTTTTTAACAGATGTTTGCCACAAACTATACTCATAATAAACACTTCAGAGGAAAAATGCTGCAGAAAAGGGTGAATTTAACACATATGTATTCAACTTAATAATATACCCTCCTATCACCAATTTCCAATTCTTAAATAGGTAAAGTTTTGGCCAGGTACCAACTTTGAATGGAAAAAGCAAGGAAATAATTAGCCTTTCCCTTCAAGAATGAAAGAAATCATATGCAGGAACACTAGTGGTGATGGCAGGGAAAAAGCCCTTGTCTCCAGCTGCAGTTTTGAACAGAAAGGGGTCTGCAGCATCGCTCCCACCCGTCCTTTCATCCTTGGTACAGGCTGTTGGGCCCAGGAGCTGTACAGAGGAGCTAATGTCAGGCACACGCAGCCAGGCCATCCCCTGCCCTCTCCTCCAGCTCAAACAGCCACATGCCTTTTATAATGGAAAAAAAGCAAAATTCTCCCAGACTGTATAACTTTAGAGTATAAAATCACTCCTGCAAGATGGAAAGCTGTGCAGAAACAGATTTAAGCTGCCATTTTATAGCTGCAGGTTAAGTACAGCAAAGCCAAAGGCATTTTATTTCGTTTCTGATTTGTATGCCTCTCAAGTTTCCAAATATTTTTCTAACGTATGAAATACACAGTTGCATTTTCAAATAAATGCCTAAATACTACATGTGCCTTTGTTTTCCCACTTCATATCATCTCACTTCTAAATATACATGAAGAAGTGATTTTAAATGAATATCCTAAAGTTATTTCAGATGAAATTCCTGTCTTGGTAATCAGTTCAAGCTGTCCTGTGTATGTGTAAATAGCACTTCAGGATAATTACCTTGCATAGTGTCAGTAACTGCAATTCAATATCTTAAAATGTATTACGTACTCACCTTAAGTATAGTGGCAACTGTCTCTTGTGAGGCATTTCTCATATCCTCTCCATTTACAGACAAAATCTGATCTCCTTGAATTAATCTTCCATCTAGGTCTGCAGCTCCTCCTTTAACAATGTCAGAGATAAACACTCCACTTCCATTTCTAACAATGCAAGAAGCATATGGCTAATTACACAATCCAATATTCTTTGGGAGACCAATTTAGATTACTTGCATTTAAAAGACATTAAAAGAAACCTGTGAGCAGAGGAAGAACTAGTTTCACACCTCATTCAACTGTTTGAGCATAAAAAATCCACAAGTTTTAAAACCAAGGCATGTTTGGCTATATTTAATGCTGTCTTTCCCCTTGAACCATTAGTTCTGACTGCACGATCCATAAAGATTCATGAAAAATACCACTTGTATGAGTAAAGCCAAAGATCGGTCTAGGATGGAGTTAAACTATCTCCTGATGTGCCTGATATGAATTATGCAGCCTCATATTATATTTTTTTTTCCTATATTCCCCTTAAAGGTTCAGCTCAGTTTCTTTTCTAGAAGCCTGGAGGCCCCCAACAGAAGAACAAGAAGTCTGCAGAAAAGACTTTTATAGTTTGCACATGAGTTATGCAGCAGAAAATCCAGCTCTGTGGCTGTCTGCCTGCAGCAGGCAGTGAGGCTTATGAGAGCAGCAGGCCTGGCAGATGAGGGGAATGTATTTTTTTATTTATCAGCTCCAGCCTCCTCGCAGGGGAGCCCCCTCCCAGAGGCTGCAGACCCCTCTGTGCTGGCCCCAGCTCCTGGGGCTCACTCTGGTGCGAGCTGGTGCCAGCTGCAATGCCAAGGTTTGGCATTTGGTATCCTTCACCCCGAAGGACACACCACTTCAGAACCTGAATTATACCTGGGTATCATTTAATCGAGTTTAGAAGTTGGGCTACCTCGAAGGTGGAAATCTCCACAAGCGAAGCACTTAGCAGTAGTACAGAAAGTTTTGCACTGAAGCAAACGTGGGAGGGCTGGAGACTGCGATTACCATCTGTAGGGTAATTTACATAAGCTAAATTAATTACCCAACCTGCAATCTGCTCACAACACCTGGGTTAAACATCACCACTCTTGTAAAAATCTGCTGCGGAAAGTTTACTGACCATACGCAGTCAGGATAATGACACGACAATTTGTAATTGAGAAAATAAATTTTTTTTGACAATAGAGAAGAGCAACCATACGAGTCTTACGCACCAACACTGAGCAAGTGCTCGCCAGTGTCATGCTGTAAATCTCTTCTAGCAAACAAAGATTAAATCTATCAGTGCTCTGGTTTGAATGATCTGATAGCGATGGTTTAGGAATACATCAGTAAAAAGCCACATTTTATTAAGCAGCTGTTACCTACCACCGTATCTCAGATTTTGCTCTGTGCTCACAGAACACGGTCTGTCACCTGGATGCTGTTCAGGGTTCAGGTCTAACTCAGCCTCTTCTCTTCCACTGACATCGGTCCCTTGGAACCCGAGTAGGAGCTAGATTTAACTCACAAATCCATTTTCAAAGGCATATCCCGGCATTTGGAAACAGGACGGTTTCTCCCCCAGTTTGGAATCCGAAAAGCCATGGTTAGGGCCTCCAAGCTACGCTGAAGCCACCCAGACCTGTGAGCTCCTGATTCTGCACGTGCCCCCTTGGCCGCCTACGCTGTGCCGCTCGCTGGGAACTCTCCCGGGCAGAAGCAGCCTTTGGTCTGTCCTCCCTCTGACAGAGGAGCCACGACTACAGCCCCATGGCATCCTTGAGGATATTTAGATACCAAATTCTGCTCCTTACACAGTTTTTCCTTTCTTTTATATTCCATTTAATAGCTACAGTTGTTCATATAGCAAAACACAAAACAGCTCTCATATGAATCGTGGTCTGATCAGAGAGATGCTCTTACCGTTTTCCAGCTATGCTGAGCCCTAGGCCTCGGCCCGTTTTCTTTTGTATATCTACATAGAAAATCTCTAAGTTTTCTTCATCTTTGTAATGTGCTTCATCTCTATAAACAACCAACTGCACCTTCTGGGGCGTCTGTCTCAGCGCAGTGATAGCTTCTTCGTGGCTGGCGTTCCGCAGATCGATCCCGTTCACCTGAAATAATCAGTGTTTTCTTTCCAAATGACATGTATAAATGATCTTTTCATCACACCATACCCTTGTGTGACAGGACAAATTTGTCAAATTGACACCCCTTGGCACTCTAATTTAGTGCTCCTGTTTCCAGAGGGCCGAGCTCCTGGATCTCCTACCGAGTGAGAGTTCGGTGCTTTGTGCCACTGCCTGGAGTAAATCACAATAATCAAAACATTTTGGCTTCTACGTTCTGTGGGTGTTCTTCCCTGCTTTTTAAATGCTGGAACCTCAAACAATGCTTCTTTCTGACGACTAGACAAAGTGGAATGTTCTCCTTTGAGCTTCCTCTATCTCTTACTGCTCAGATTCCTTCTCCCCCGGCTTCACAACGCTGCCGAGCCGCAGACAGAAGGAATAAGAAACATTAGCAAATGCCAATGGCAAATCTCAGGCAGGACATATTAAATGGTTATTTTTCTTTGTTCCAATAGATGGCACACAAGACCGCTCCTGGAGCACTCAATGACATTTCTCTTACGATAACCTGAAAATGTTTGAGCATTTTAGTAATATCAGATAGAACAAGAAGTTCTGACTGAATGCTCAAGTATTAAAACACCTACTGCAACTTGAAACTTAATCTCCTAATTTTGCCAGGTCCGATCCACAGACACCCTTGAAGGTGTCTGCCAATATGCTGTTGAAAAAATCATCTTTTATTTCTTAATACCAAAAAATATCAGTGCTTAAATATTTTTGAAGTCTCTTTAGGAAGTAGCATGAACTGTAACTGAATAACAATGCAATGGTAATCCACTTACACAACATAATAAGTTTTAAGGCAATGAAAATATTTCTCGGTATTTCCAAATATGCAAGGTTATAATCATACTTAATTTTACGTTAAGATAATTAAACCTAATCTATAGTAATTATATTATTTTGTACTAATTCTGCACTGACTTATTTATACACTGCATCGGTATTCTTTTCTCAACGCAGGCATCTTCATGTGCTTTATCATACTAATCTGAAACTAATTCAGAGTCATCTTTTTGATTCATTAGTAAGGCTTTTATAAGCTGAAATAATAACAATATTATGGCACACAAACATTAGCACTTTCCTGTTTGGCCAGAGAAGAATTAATTAACCTTCCCCATTTTTATCCCCTAATTATTGTGCTCTGTTAATACACAGTTATTTATAAAACGAAAACAACATTCAGCCTTAACGCTAAAAAAAATATTTTCAATGCAAGAGCTGTAAAGACAGCTCCCCAAGTACCCCTTGCTATTTTTCTAACCCTACACACCAAAGCCTTAATGGCCATGCTGGGAATTTGTCCTGATCTGACAGCGAGACACTGCAAGCAGCTGTGCAGAACCCCTGCCTGACGCAAGTTTCATTTGCAGGCCAACACTTCTTTCTTAACCCTTTCCCTCCTCCATTTCCATGCTTGTCTGCGGGAAAACCACTACATTTATTCACAGAAATAATTGTGTGCATTCAGCAGGTTTGCGAAGAGTGGCCTGAAGGGGCCGGTGGCTCCCCCAGCACGGCTGCGGGCGGGCACTGGGAGTTTGTCAGCGGGGATGCTGGCGGGGATGCCACGGCCACCCTCACCTCCTCGCCCAGCCTTTGCCCAGCTCAGCACTGGGTCTGCAGGCAGCCCGGAGATAGCGGAGCAGCGGCGCAGGCTTCCGAATGAAAGATTAAACAGATGAATAATACTGAGCTATTGGACATGACAGCTGAACTATGTAATTCGAGAACTGCCTTGCTCGATTAAATTTAATATATTCTCAATTTGTACCTTCAGTTTATATGAATACATAAGGAAATATGAATTTGTCAGGATGTTCTTAGTGACAAAAAAGCAGCTTCAGGTATGGATCCTACTCCATGATCTCTCTTTTCCTTACAAGAAACCCACGCTGCATCAACCACAAGTACACACGGCAAAGATACAAGCGAGTAGGTACACAGAGAGACTCATTTACCTCCAGAATTTGATCGCCGGCCCAAAGCCTGCCATCTCGGGCTGCTGCCCCTTCTTCATAAACTTCATGGATCACTATGGCATCCTGTGGGAACAAGGGGGTGGCGTGAGTCCTCCCTCCCAAACTGGCAGCCGTGACCCACCCCACAGCCCGCTGCTCTGCAGTAAAAATGCACAGCACTCCATGTCAGGATGAGCAAGACTCTAACACAGTTTTACATACTTTTTAAAATATTTTGGGATCAGAAAATTACTGCCATAATCAAAATACAGATAGCCAGTGAAAAGGTAAAATGGATTTTGTTCACCACTTCAGGGTAGTCTTGTCTAGAGCTTCTTAGGCTTCCATCACTTTTATACATTGGCATCAGCAGTATGTGAACTCGGTGTGAACCATTGTATTAATATCGTCTACTTTTTATGATATTATTTAAAACCAGATTCTTTGGAGCTATGAATATTTTTAGGGACTTGGCATAGATCTCGGCTTTAAGCAAGAACTGAATGCCTTGTGGTAAATAGCGCTGGTTAAATCTGTAAGAAATGAAATCCAGAAGAAACGAACAATGGCAAATGTTAGTTTATTACTGAGGTTGGAAAATGTAGGCAGTGGCAGATGTAGCTTCAGGGAAGGTTTCAGTGATTTAATCTTATTGCCAGCAATAGATGTCCCCAAAGAAAAAGCATTACAAAGAACATACTGTTCTCTTGCTGGTGCTTTCCCTTTGCATTGTTCTGGTTTGTTTCTTTTTTTTTTTTTTTCCTTTTTTTTTTTTTTTTCCTGAAACAAATAGGTGAACATCCTGCTACAGGGCTTCAGCTGCAGTCCTGACAGCTACCAGGATGGGACACTTCATTGTGCAGAACGTGCTCCCCTCTCCAACATCAACAGCAAACACCCAGCCTTGGAACAGAAGACTAAAAGGGTTCTGAATTAATAAGTGGTGATTTTCAATTAGATACGTAGGTATTGAATAACCCGTTCTCAGGCAAATATACCCTCCAAAACCGCTATGGTTGTGAAGTTCTTTCAGCAGTTTGACGTACAAGTCAGAGACTTTCCGTGGCGTCTGTAACAAAAGGCGGCGAGGTTAGCAGCGTGCGAGCCCCGCTGTGCACCGCCTTCCTGGAGCAGGAGCAGGAAATAGCTGCTGGGGTAGAACAAAGTACCTTCGTGTTTTGAAAACACAGTTAGATACTACATCTCTCATCACCGAGTTAACTCCCCCTGTGTTGCCTTGCGATCCTTTCCCAGCGCGCATGGTGCACGTTGAACAGAAAGAAAACTCAAATGCCCTTAAGCTAATGCTCAGATCAAGACAACATTGAGAGCATTATTCTCTTTCATTCCCACTACACCTTATTTAGTGATACGGACTTGTATCTACAACCCCTCTGCTCCTGCTGGAGCACAGCACCACTGTCACAAGCTTCCTCTTTGATACATATACACCAGTCACTGCAAAAAGCCTGAAGGATTTTAATCACAAATGGATTACAGCTGATACGAGTGCCCCAGATGGGGAGAAAAGATTTCAATCTACATAAATGAAGGCAAAAAACTATGAGCTGTGTACCAAGGTGATTAAGAAAAATCAACAGAACAGTTTGATTTAAAAAAAAAAAAAAATTAAAAAAAAAAAATAAAATATATATATATATATATATATATACACACACACACCACTGGCAACTGCAGGGTTTTCTTGAAAACAACTGAGGCAGCTATTACCAGCGGAACTGAGTAACATCCCACGTCCATCTCGGCAGCGCTGCCAAAATCCTCCACTACGTGCCTTAGATCTTCTTTCAGTTACGGGGTTTTGCTTGTTGCGGGTTTTTGTTTGGTTGGTTTGGTTTTGGTTGTTTTTTCTGCCCCCAGTTACCTTTGTTTTAAAAATGATCATGTAACTCTAAGTCAACACAAGAGACTTTTGCCTGGGTGAAAGCCAGGAGGGTGACAGTGATGTATATTTTTTCACCTGAGGCTGATCACGGGTAACTGTGAGAAAAAGCTGAGTCTGTGGTTTAGAACTTCCATAGCACTCTTCACTTTTACTTTTTAAAACACTTAACAAAGGAAGGCATTTAGAAGTGGCCAATGAGATAACACAAGATATCAACCAGCTTGTAAAGACAGCATCATTCAACAAGGGTGTCCAAGGGCAGTGGACAAACACAAGGTTTGGTAGAAAAATGGCTATGTGGCCACGGAACAGCAGACTGGGCACGTGCACAAGAGGGTCAAATCAAACACTTTCGGACAGTATTGAACCTGATATTTCCTAACCTCTGAGCAAGGAGCTTTCAATCACATTTCTTTGTTTTCCATCTGCGGTTGCTTTAAAAATGGTCAACAAACTGGAGTTACCAGCTTTTCCCAGTACTGCATTATTAAATGTAAAACTGCACATACCTAAAGCTCAGATTCAGGAACCACCGAATGTTATCAGTTTGAACAATCTGCATCATCTATTTGTAAAGGCAACAATTCAGCATTACACTGCGGTTCCTGCACGTGTTAGAAGCCAGACCTAGAACTAAAAATACATATGGCATGAAAAGGTACATTCCTGTTTGGTCTGTGCCTACCCTGAAGAAGGAAACATCTCACTGACCTGCCAAAGCACTGTTTTTCCTAACTAGATTTTTTGTTGGTTTTTTTTTTAAAGTAGTGTATTTGAATCAGGCTTATCAAATCAATTAAAACCAGAATGAAGCAATGCATCCACAATTTACCGTAAAGATGTTTAAATAATCCATGAACATAAATATGAGAGTCATTCCTTCCCTAGCTTATAAACTCTGATTAACAGACATCTTTCCTCTGATACGTCTGGGATCAGCTCAGAGTATATTTAACCCAGAAGTAATCTTTTTCCATTGGATCTAGTGGGATCTGAATAAAACTCTTGTTAGTTTTGATCATCCATGATAAATCACTAAAAACAAACTGCTGATGTTACTGAACATTTTTAATTATATCATTATTTTAAAGAGGTTTATGCAATAACAGGATGTAATGTCACACTCCAACCATCCAAGCAAGCCCTAATCTGTAATGACTGTATTGGCGTGTTATGGATTTAAGCTGTAACTCTGCTCTCAGTACCTCAGAAAAAAAAAAAAAAGATCTATCATGACTAAAACAATACATAGCATTTATTTAAAGGATGAGTTCTGGTTATTGAACATCTGCTGCTCCTGCTCACTAGCTTCAAATTCAGTTGTGTGCTTGATCTCTCTAGAAGTCAAGGCCTAAATAGTTCCAAATCCATCAATCAGTAGAGTGGGAGGAAGGGAGAGGTTATGAATTCATGGTGGCTCTGGACAGATTTTCACTCCCATCCCTCCCCATCTCCTTTCACTACCAGTTTCATATAGATCATGGCACTCCATGATATAGCTTGGCAGAGTCACAAAAACTGTTTGTGCAGAAGGGGGAAATAAAAACACTCTCATATCAAGAACACAGTTGTTTAAAGAAAGATATCCAGCTGCTGAAAGCACATACTTCTTATCATAAGGTTTACAAATCCATTCAACAGACTGGAGCTTTAATCTTTGTATATTTTGACAAAGAATAGTCTGGGACCATTACACAAATCGGGAATTAATGCAAAGCTGAACATTTCTTGCATGGAACGGAAGGATGCAGAATACAAGCCAGGGCATATAAACAGCATTTTTCTATGCTAAACAAAGTCCATGCTTGCAGGTGTAAACTTAGACTATCCAACCGTGAAAACTCTGCAAGATAAAGTAGAAGGGAATTTGTCTGCTGCTACTCAGCTTGCCATCCTGCTGAATTATATTGAAGGCTATTGAAGGGCCTGCAGTCCCTTGAAATGAAGATGAATGCACTAAAACTATCTATATCATGTGGCTAAAAAAAAAAATCACCTACAAGCCAGAATAGTTCCCAAACATGGCAAGAGCATACCTGGTTTGTATATGTTATGCACCAAACCTGTTAAAAAGCAGCAAGGCTTATCAAACCTGCCACGCAGTATGTGAGAGGGTGTTTTGTAAAGATCCAATTTGATCTGTGGGACAGCTACCCCCCTCATTCTCACTTTTCCAGCAGAATACCACTCGGATTGCACAGTCTTCTTGAGCAAAGGGAAGGCACACGAGTGATAACTCTCACACTGACTCCAACAAAACAAGGTTTTGGGCTGTGGAATAAAAGGCAGACGAGTAGAAGAATTCACGGGGGCTCTTGGCGGACACCTTGAGGAACAACGTTGGTGCAGAGGAAATGACTACTGAAATGTGAGGGCAAGACAACCTTACAGAAATTAGCACTCCACCTGAGAATCACTTATGGAAAATGTAAAATGGGCACAGCGTTATCTACACAGCATTCCCTTCTACCTGAGGGAGGGGAATAGCCCTGAACTCTCGGGGAATACGATCTCAACTCTCCTCCAGGCTCTGGATATTTTTTTTGCTTGATTTATAACTTCAGAGACCCAGCAGGGGAAGAATATCACACTCACCCATCAGCAGAGAACACAAAATAGAAATGCTAATGTTAAGAATTAAATTCAGTAAGAGTGACAGCTTAATCTTTGTATCTTAAATGTCAAGAACTGGTATGGCAAAGACCCCAGGCAATGACCACATAGCATCGGTCTTGATTGAGCCTTTGGCAGAAAGGTAGTAAAGTCAGCTTCCTATTCAGGAAAAAATCACTGACCAAGCAAACCTTAAAAGCCTGCAGGACCATAAACAGTGGTGAGAAAGTCTCACAAGCTGTCTGGCTTTCAGCTTGGACTGCTCACATGTTTTCTGCAAGTTTACAGCTTCTGAGCCAGTCTCTCTAGTGTTTCTTTTCTTCTGTGCAGCTGTTCTGCAGGAGGACAAGCAGCAGCTTTCAACGCAGGTGCTCTTTGCCACCAAAAATCAGCCCCCAGACTGTCATTTGCAAAGTAGAGGGCAAGGGAGTAGAAGGACAGAAGACAAGAAGGAGGCTCAAAGATGAAGTACTATGGATATTTTGATGAAGTTCTATCACGTGGTAAAAGGTGGATCAGTATGCAAGAGGGGAGATTTCAATAGAACTGGAGCAGAGAAATCCCC